AGACAATAGAAGAATTGATGCTTTTGAGTTATGGTGTTTGAGGAGAATATTGACAGTACCACGGGCTACCAAAAGAACCAGCAGATCTGTTTTGGAAGAAGTACAGTCAGAGTATTCCTTGGAGGCCAGGATGGCCAAACTTCGTCTCTCATACTTTGGACATATTGTCAGGAGGGACCAGTCGTTAGAGAAGGATATCATGTTTGGTAAGGTGGAGGGTCAGAGAAAAAAAGGAAGACGCCCAATGAGATGAATTGGCCAAGTGGCAGCATCGATGGACTCAAGCGTGGCAATGATAGCGAGTTTGGCCCAGGATTGGGTAGTATTCATTCTGCTGTGCATAAGGTCGCTATGAGTCGGCACCGACTAGATGACACCTAACAACAACAAGTGATCTGTGAGAGAAAAGGCCTGGTGTTCTGCGCCTGTACAGATAACAGCCTTGGAGACCCTATGGGGGCAGTTCCCCTCTGTCCTACAGGGTCACCATAAGTTAGAGTCAACTGGACATCAATGGGGCCTGCCTTCCTTCTCCCTTAACTTCCTTCCTCTCTTTCTTAATTTTGTCTTCCTAAGAACCTTTGCCTTAGTAGTGTAGTGGATTATGAGCTAGGCTGCTAACTTCAAAGTTAGTAGTTCAAATCCCTCAACCACTCTGTGGGAGAAACATAAGGCTTTCTGTTCCTGTAAAGATTTACAACCTTGGAAACCCTATACAGGCTCACAGTGAGTCAGAACTGACTTGATGGCACACAACCACCATCACCACCAAGAATCATTAAGGCAGATGTTGTTTCATTTTATTATTTTTAAAAGCTTTTATTGTGAATTGCGTCTATATGGCAGAATATCAGTTTTTCACTAAACCAATTGCAATTTGTTTCATTGCAATGATTACTTTGTGCTCTATGTGCCTTCAGTTAACAGTATTTGCCTCTATTCCCTCTTTTTTGTTTTATTATTATTATTATTATTATTTTTGATGTACACAAAAACACACAGGAATATATAATTGTTTAAACAACCATAGGGCACATTTTGCACACAAGCTCCCCTGCTGGTAAACATACACCCTTTCTCTTTCCATGAGTCTAGAGTCCTCAGATGTGCTATCTCTCTATGCCGTCACCTCTGCCTGTGTCTCTAGTGTTGCTACTTCTCTGGTTAGGGTACCACGTTCCACTCATGCTCTTCCCTCTTGCTGGTCCTAGGGTCCTTTGTTCCTGGAATGTAAGATTAACTACTTCCCTCTTTTTGTCACGCAGCTTCTACCTTTACATTTGAGACAATCACAGTTAGTCATGATAACAGTTACTCACTATTGAATCAAAAGAGGCAGATGTTATTTTACAGGGGTACAATTGAAGCTCAGAAAGGGGATATAATTTTCCCCAAATTGCACAGTTATGAAGAGGCAAAGTGGGAAGGCACTCAGAATGCAACTGGGGAAAAAATGCCTCCTCCAAGTAGAGAAAAGCTCACAGAACCTTCATTTGCTAATGGGCCACAAATCAAAATGAAGAGAAACAGCTGTAGACATCCATTGAAAATCGGAACATGGAATGTACGAAGTATGAATCTGGGAA